CCAGCTGACATGTTGTTAACCTACTCTACTAAGTTTACCCTATTTACTGTGTCTGACGTTTTGACCAGTCATTCTGCCCCCCCCCCCCCACACACACATGCTGGAAACTGCAGGTACCGTATAGAGCTGACACTAATCTTGAATGAGTGTCAAACAAAACATACCTCGGAGTAGGGGGGCTCGGTGTTGTCCATCTTGTTGACCGCCACGATGAGCTGCTTGACACCCAGGGTGTAGGCCAGCACGGCGTGCTCACGGGTCTGTCCGTTCTTGGAGATACCAGCCTCGAACTCATCAGTACTAGCAGCCACCATCAGCACGGCACAGTCAGCCTGTGAAGAACAATTTTTTTACATGTTTGATAGCATTCAATACCTAGGATTTTTACTAGTAATTATTCAGTTTCAACTGATGGACGGAAATAAGACTTCCCAAATATTCAAATGAGCCCAGTACCTGTGAGGTTCCTGTGATCATGTTCTTGATGAAGTCACGATGTCCGGGGGCATCAATGACAGTTACTTTGTACTTTGAAGTCTCAAACTTCATCAGCTGGATATCGATGGTGATACCACGTTCACGCTCGGCCTTCAGCTTATCCAGCACCCAGGCGTACTTGAAAGAGCCCTTGCCCATCTATGAAGAAAAAGATCATTGTTTGACAAAATCTGAGAACAAATCTAAGCAATTTGCATTTGAGGTTCTCGTGACCCTCAAGTTCACCTCATTACCAGTGTCTGAACTTTTGATTCGTCGCTCTACGAGTCTTCCAATCTTTCTTCCACCGATGTGCTATCAACCTACAGTCTGGACAGACACACACAGAAGCCCACCGCTCAGCCACCCAAAACAATACTTCCCTACCCAGGAATAGAAATTCTCTCTTGACTGAAAACCATCTCTCCATCATAACTCATCTTTTAAAAAAAATTCATAATTGAATACGACCTAACTTACCTCCTGGGCTTCCTTCTCGAACTTCTCAATGGCACGCTTTTCGATGCCACCACACTTGTAGACCAAGTGACCGGTGGTGGTGGACTTGCCGGAGTCGACATGGCCGATGACCACGACGCTGATACCGGTCTTTTTCTTCTCTTCCTTTGGCTTAGGCGGCATGTTGTTGTATGTGGAGACCGAGAGGTCGGTTTGGATCGATTGGAATCACGGCTCACTACAGTGTGCAAGTAGACATATTATTATGGGTTCACCACACCACGAAGTGGTGTGGTGAAACCATATTGCTTTTTCTGGTGTTTCTTCTCCTTCTCCTTCTCCTTCTCCTTCTCCTTCTCCTTCTCCTTCTCCTTCTCCTTCTCCTTCTCCTTCTCCTTCTCCTGCCATTTTTTAAATGGATTCAGCTTCTTCATTTTAGGGCCCAGGGTCCTGAAATTTGGTATGGAGGTACAGTGGGCAAATACCCCAAGGAGTTTTTTAAATTATTGTGATACAGGCTTTTAGAATGGTTTTATTTGAGTTTTTGGCTGTGTTATAGCAAATGTATTACTGTGTTAGTGTGCCTTGTTTACCACGTTTGGGCATGAGTCATCACAATGGAATGCAGTGCATCAACCAATAGGCATGCAGCTTTCCTCTATTCTTCTTGCTGATTGGCTGTTGGGATTTAACTTGATCAACACCTGCACAGAGCATTTCCACCTGCACAGAGCATTTCTTGCTGATTGGCTGTTGGGATTTAACTTGATTAACACCTGCACAGAGCATTTCCATACTGACAGTATGTCTGTATTCAAGTGTTTTGGTAGGTATTTCAAGCTTTCCTGCTCCAGCATTGGAATGCGGGGCATGGACGTTTTTTTTTTTATTTTGAAAATCAACAGTTTGCATTATGCAATTAAAAATCCTAACCAATAAAGTAGGGAATAGCTATCCAACTGTTGTTTTAGTTGTATTTTACTTCATATTATAGTTATATCAATGTAAATCATTGTTTTCCCTTGTGTTTCTCATTCTTTCCCTGCCATGTCGTAAAATGTGGTGAACCCATCGCTGTATTTGCTCCAAAGCAAATATTGGCCTTTCTAGTTTCATTTGTGCTCTCTACACTGCATTTTGATTAGATTTACTGTGACAGCCAATCAAATTCCAAGTAGTTTTTCTGCGTGTATACTAATATGTTCAACTCATCTCCATTGCATGCTATTGGACTCTGGCAAAAAAATTATCTTAAACTGTTGTCAATGACTATGATCAATCAAATCCAAAAAAATTAGGTGTTAGTTCTCAGAATCTGTGTTATTTAGACATATTTTACACCATTTAATAGCGAACAGACAGTAGACAGGAAGAACTTGTCCTGCAGGAATTCAAATAAACTTGATGGGGAAATAGAGCGATGTGAATATATGACGCAAACTGTATGTTAATTTCTCGAAAACCTGTATCAGCATTCAACTAGCATTGCAGTTAAATTGACTTAACGTTACTTTAAAAACTCATGGGGGAGGGGGCAATGAACGAATGACTTTTCATTTGTCGTTTAGGCCACAGCAAGTAATTTTTATGGATGACATCAGCGCGCGCATTAATTCTCGCCTGATTCTGGGAAAAAAAAGAAATTTTGTTTGTTGCCTTCTGACAGTGGTCAACGTGCTGAAAATGGGCAAAGATGTCTGCTGCCATGCCGGAAGGTACATGGCAGATAACTATGAGGAGGAGACAAGGAAAGACTCTGATTTAATGTTTTGTTTCTTACTTTAATGCAGTGATATGTGATGTTGGCTGTGTATATGTGATGTTCCCACTGAATCAAAACCATTTGTACAATGATTGAGTCAAAATTTTAAATTGTAGGAACCTTGTTTTTTTCGGCCCGCCTTTTTTTCGCCCGCTCACATTAGATTTGAAGTCTGCGGAGGGTGTCATCCATAAAAATCTACTTGCTGTGGTCTTATTGGTCATAAAAATATAAGCGGTGATATTTTATCCGTGCCAATGTGTAAACGTTGACAGACAATTTGGGTTTTAATGACTTTTTTATTGCCGATGTGAACGATTGCGCAATCGTGCCATCAAATTGAGTCAAGCGGGAGAGGAATGATGTCGGAAATTGTTCGCAAGTTTTAACGATATAACGACTTGGCCAACGCCTGTGTCAAAAGATTGGTCCAATTTCGGGGGGGGGGGGTATAGATTATCTTGGCTTTTAAATCTGTCTATTCTATATAGATTATCAAAATTTCACTTTATACTTTGTTGTGGTATTGTTGTTGTCACTATTATTGAAAGAGTTCTGCGGCGCGGAGACAGCACAGACGCCATGATTATTTGACCGGCGCGCCGAATACTTCGGCTTACGCTCAGGTCATATATAACGTTCTGGAGTGAATGATGTAAGGTAAAAGGAAAATAACCGTACAAAAAGATTTTTTAAAATAGGATAAGTACAGTAGTACATCTTTGTAGAAGAAAGACAGCTGAAGCGCGAGTTGTTTTTACAACCGACATGGATTAGACGGAATCAGGTCGATTCGCCCGGGGCGTAAGTAACATGGGGCGAATGGTCGAAACCGATTAGACCGGTTCAAGAAGTTCCCTCCTTTGTTACAAAACCGACGCCATTTTGTTCCACAGTTTTTATAAGAAGGTTTTACACCTACCTGCATTTCAAATACCAAATAACACCGTCAGGGCGTGTGGGGACAAAGTTCTATCTCTACCAACCTTCCCGGTCGATACAATGTTACAGTTTCTCTCGTACGCCAACACAAAGCTTTTATTTGTGATTTTTGTCAAAATTATGCTTCCAACCAATTAGCTCTTTTTTTCCAACCGACGATTTTGGAACGGTTGCACAGTGGAGATAGTTTTGCAGAGTAATACATGTCGCACAATTAACCCCAGAAGCTTTAAAAACATGAGCTTACAGTGGGGAAGTTTTTATTTTGGAAACAGGGGTCTGCCTAAATACCTCAACCGCTCTTAATGGGTGATAAACCATTCACTTTTCGCCCTGGGTACATTGTCTATGCGAATGTGAATATTAATAGAAATCATACAGTAACTCCTATGTATTTGTGATTTTTTTTCAACTCAAAACTTGTCATAAATGGAGTCGCAACATTTGCAAATTCGTAAGTATTAGGTTATCGTCTTTTTAGTGAGTGGTACTTGAAATATCCAAATGAATCCATAAACACGTGTAAAAAGCTTTCCCTGTATGTCTCCGTTTCCGTGCTGCACTAGCCTAGTTAACCAGACAGCCGTGAGCTCAGCGCTATCCCTTCGGCGCCGAGAGCGTTTGGGGCCGCCAACTAGGCCTCAATTACCGCGCTTCGGGGGGGGGGGG